ATTCTTTAACTCATTGGAACAAACATAAAAGTAGTTCGTTTAAAATATTGTCATATGATCAAAAAAAAATGTTTTAAGATTATAGTACTTTGTTTGAGAATGGTCTGTATTTTTTTTCAGCAATTGTTGTTTCGTTATTAATAAGAAAGTGGAACGTAAACTCAATTAAAGAATGGAATACAATAGTATTGGAAAAAAACGGAAAAGATTTTTATTCTGAAGAAAATATAATGCAATTTCTTATCGAAGATGAAAACGATTCGTATTAAGTATTAAGTCACTTAAAAGTACACGTATTAAGTCACTTTAAAGAAAAAAATTAAAAATTTAACTTTTTTTGAACTCATTGAATTGTGTCACTCTTTTGCATACGAAAACACTTTTGATCGAATAAATAATAAAAATTTTTCATTAAATAAAAAAAATAAAAACGTTCGTTTACTACACCCTAAAATGAAATCACAATATAAGAGTGTACTTACTGAACTATTAAAAGTGGTATACGAGAGTGCAAACATAACTAAAGAAGATCAAAATCCTCTAAGAGAATTTTTAAACGAAGATGAAAGAAAACAAGCTAACGAACGTAAAAAAACAGTAAATACAATAAAAATATGTTTGTACGAAAAAAATCAATCTTTTCACGCTGTTGGCATGCTTAACGAACGTTTTACTGTTATGTATAGCAATCAACTTTTACATCAATGTTCAGAGTGTGGACTCAAATATACTCGAATAACTAACAAACACGAATGTAAAGGATTTTATTTAACAGACAAGTTTGTCTATGGAGAAACTAGACATTATGAACCTCAAAATAGTTTTATAAACACTTCTCGAAACGTTTTTCCTTTATTTATTACTTTTGATTGTGAAATAAGTATTCATAAATCAAATTTAAAAGAAACAGAACACGTTAAACCCTTGTCAGATCTTTCATACTATTGTCATGGTATTGTTATTCATTGTTTATCTGAAAATTTAGCTAGAGAATGTTTTGGTTTAGATGAAAGAGGTAAAGTTATAACGCAATGGATATTTTATTATGAAAACACAATTGAAAGTTTACAAGCAAACCCTTTAACATTACTACCTATTTGTTTTCAAGAAAATATTTCTTTACTGCACAAAACACATCGTCAAAACTTGTGGCGAAAATTAGATGCAAATGACGAAAATGTTGAAAAATATAAAAGCGAATTGAGAGTATATGATTTGATAATTTTAGCAGACACTTTAGTTTGTTTTACTTACGAAAAATGTTTACCTCGTTTTCAAAACTTAAATCTTTCTGAACACGAAAAATGTGAAGTATGGCAAGAAGAAAATCCTTTGTGCTCAATATGTAGATGTCCTGCAGACAAAATTCGTAAATCTGATATATACAGTTACAAATTAACTAAATGTTAGATCCAGAAATAAATTTATTAAATCATAACGAAATTAAATTTTATAACGACAAACGTGTTCAAGTTATAAATCATATATTTAAACGAGTGAGCAAATTAAAATTCTTTATGCTTAAACCGTCAATGCAAGATTATTTAATAACAAACAGAGTGGAAAAAATCAAAAATGATTTGTTTCAAATATCTAGTTTGTTTTATATTTGTTGCAGATGGTGGGAAAGATTTGACCATACTCTCATAACAAACGGTTTTTTAAGTGATTATGTAAGAATAAACTCGTTAGTTCTTGTTGATTATATGAAATGTTTAAGTCAACTCATTATGAACGAACAACAAATTAACTTATGGTTTGAAAACGATCCTATAGAATTGTTGGAAGATTCTTATTTTTTAATACGAATTTTTCAAAAATGTATTAACGAAGTTAACGTGCATTGGAAATACGAACGTGAGGTGGGAATAAAAGATTCTATTACTTTTTTGCATCTCATGTCTCGTTTAAATCATCCGTCAGCTCATTTATGGTTTCATTGTATGTTGGAACCGTTAAATAGAGAATTTGAAAAAAAAAGTAAATTAAAAGAATTGATTCAAGATGATAAAGGAAGAGACAACGTCTTAAAAGAATGTTTCAGTTTTTTGTCCTGTTTTGAAGATTACATGGTCATCGATCATGATCACTTTTCAGGTACAGTTTACGGATTAGCTCACGATTATTGCAACAAAAACTTGGCACGTTATAGTAGTAAATTGGCTTGTCCTATCTTTGCCCACAATGCTTCTTTTGATAATCGTATCATGATTGTTGAAGGTTTAAAAAAATATTAGACATTCCATTATATATCTACGGAGAAGATACAGAAGACAAACCTTTTAACGCTTTTTTAAAATGTTGCAATATGGAAAATTTGTTTGTTATTTCTAAAGGTGTAAACAAATTTAATATTATTTGCATTGGCAAACACATAAAAATTGTAGACACGTTAAAAATTTTAAATTGTTCTTTGGATCAAGCGAGCAGTATGTTATCTAAAAAAGCGCAAAATCAAATTATTGACAGCATGCTTCACTATTTGCTACCTTTTTATCCTCATATTACCCAACTGGTAGACAACGAAGAATTTAAAAATTGTTTTATTAAAAAAACTTTGTTTCCTTATTCACAAATATCAGACAAACTTTTAAACATTGAATACAAAAAATACCTTTTATTGAAATATTTGCTAAAAATGATTTAATGAAATCAAAAACAATAGACGACGAAATTAAAAAAATTAAAGATTCTTATGATACTGTTAGCAAACTATGGAATTTTTTAAATTTAAAAAATTTAAAATCTTTATTACACATTTATACAGTTTTAGATACTGTGGTTTTGGGTTCTGTAATGATTGATTTTGATGAAAGAGCATTTCAATTTACTCATTTTCAAATGTTACCTCACTTGAGTGTTTTTAGTTATTGTAGTAAACTCAGTTCAGCTATGAGTCAAATTCAAATACAATATCCGCCCTCTGATGAACACGAACGTATGATTGAAAAAAGTGTTAGAGGTGGCATGTCTTCAAACGGTTTGCAAAGATATGCAATTGATACGGATTATTTCGAAAGTAAAATCGAAGAACTTGGATTAAGAAGTAACATTAAAGGATGTTTATTTTTTTAGACGAAAATGGACAATACGGAGGCGCACAACTTAAACCGTTACCGTTTCAAATGAAATATTCTTTTGATTTGGAATGTCAAACATTAGAACAAGTGATTGAAAAATATCATCGTGTCAATCCTGACGGCTTTTCAACAAGTGCTTTAGTTCATTGTCAAATTAAAATGGAACCCGAAGGCTTTTCACCTATGGTCGAAAAAGATGTTATACTTTTGAAAGATTATTCTCCTTCTGAAATTGTAGCTGAAAGAACATTAAAAAAAATGGTCAATACACTATCGAAAAAAATAAAACTGTCAAATTCTTAATGAAATTGAGTTCTCATGAAACTTGCGAATATTTAAATACTTTGATATGGTTGACAACGTGTTGCGGATGTATCGTTGAAAAAATTTATAAAGTATTACCTTTATGGAGATATCCTTTAGCTGAACAGATTATTAGAAAAAATATTGAAAAAAGAAAAGAAGCTGTGAAAAACGGAGACAAAGTAGTAGACGCTACAGTTAAATTGCACACTAACGGACATTATGGATTCAAAAGTCAAAACACAGCAATCAAACAAACTAGTCAGTTTATTAATCACGAAGAAAAATCTTTTCAAAATTTGATAAAACATTTTCAAGATATTTGTTTTGTATTGTTGCAAGAAAAAAGTATTTCTGAAGAAAAAATTAAATCTTTGTTTCCTATTCATTTTCAAAATTTGTTGTACGAAAACAATATATTTGTTAACATAGAACCTGAAAGATACAAATTGGACATGTTTGAAAAAAAAACATGCATAGACAGTTGTGTTACTGATGGTTTTACATATGACGAATATTATAAAGATTTTATTTTTAAAAAATTGATTGATGTAAAAACAAAAACTATAATGTTTAGCGGAAAACATAACGAAGAATTTCAAGACGTTTTTGAACTTTTGAGATCTGATATAGACATGTACAAGGACGGTCTTGTTTTTGAAAGTAGTTAAAAAACTAGTCTAATAAACAAACAAATGCGTTACGTTGCTTCTCAAATATTATCTTGGGCCAAACTTACCGTTACTCGATTTGCATGGGAATTAGGAGAAGTGTTAAGAAATCATAACGCAGAAAAACATTTAGTTGTTACAGACACTGATTCAGGTTGTTTTTTTATTACTAAAAAAACGGACGATAAGCAAGAAATATATCGTTCAAAAGTAGAAGAATGGATTTATTTTTCAAAAATTGGAAAACAATGGATGGATTATTCCAATTACCCTAAAACGCACGAATTTTATTCGACTTTATAAGCTAAAGAAAGTGATCACTTTCAAAACGAAGTTCCTCATTCTTCTTATATAGGTCAGATTTTTGCTATGGCACCAAAATGTTACAGTGCGCATATTATCAAAAAAAAAGAAATTCTAGATAAAGGTAAAGATGAACACAAAAACAGAGCAAAAGGATTACCCAATAACAAATTATGTGACACGCATTTCATTAACGGATTTAATACACATAGAGCTGAAAAAATGTTTAGAAATATACCTAATCAGTTAGAAAACGAATACAACCTTTTTTTACAAAACAGATTAGATTTAAATTTTAAAGGTGTTACCATTAAGGAACACGTTATTCATTTTTTCAAAAAATTTACTCAAAAAAATTATGTATTTGATGACGATTTGTTTACAGAAATACGCGATTGTTATCGCTTAGATCCAATTCGAGTAGCTAATTAAAAAGTATTACCGGATATCGAAAAGTTTTGTAGCGACGAACATGTACAAGCGTTACTCGAAATTAAAAAAATATTATAAAATCATCGGAACGATTCAATACAATGATTACGTTTAATCAAGAAGTTTTAATACCTTTATTGTATAATTTAAAAAAACTATAAATTGTAATAAAAATTTTTTTTTTTAATTGTAATAAAAATTGAAAAAGAAAATGGAATATAATTTGTTTGATGAAATGTTAACTGTTAAACAACTCGAAAACAAACTAAAAGAAATTGGTTTTGAGAATTTTTATTTAATAGAAAATACTGAAGGAGAAAAAAGCGAATATTATACTTCTAAATTAATATGTGTTAATCCTAACGGACGAATTCTTATACCTGACTCTTTTTTAAAATGCACAAAATGTTTTGTTTGTTTTTTTTTTGAAAATAAATTTTGTAGGTTGTTTTGAAGACAGTTGCAATATATGTATATCTCAATATCAATCTAAAAAAGTACATTATAACTGTAATCATTAAGAATAAAAATGAATAAAGAAAATTATAGTCAAGACAAAGTCAAAAAAAATAAAAAATTAATCTACAACAACTTATTTTTGTTGGAATTATCAAAAGAAATAGGTAGTGATTGGAAAAGATGTGGAAGATTTTTAAACATTAAAGAAGGAGATCTTGAACTCATTGAAAATGATTACGATAAAACTATTAATCGATGTTTTGAAATGTTTAAAATAAGCGTATATCAAAACAATTTAACAATGGATCAATTGTTTCAAATTTTGGAAAGTTTACCACGTAACGATATTAAAAGAAACATTTTAAAAATATATTATTAACATTATTTATTTTGTAAAAACTTTGTTTATATTTTTTCTAATAAAAAAAAACTTAATCCTTAAAAAAATTGTAGTTATATTTTTTATATGAAAAAATGGAAGAAAAAGAAGAAAAAATTGAAACCAAACCTGTGGAAAACAATCATCCTAAAAATGATAACAAAGATTCGAGAACGTTAACAGAAATATTAAACGAAAAAGGATTTCACAGTTTTTATTTAAAAGGTAAAAATGAAGAACCTGAAATTAACGACGATGTTTTACCAACGCAAATCAAATTTAATATTTTTAAACCTTTGAAAGATGTTTATCCTGAAAACACTATTATTACAGGACCTACAAATAGCGGAAAATTAACTATGGCACGCGAACTTTTACAATATGGAAAATATCCGGATGCAGAAATGTTACTCGTTATTCAAATGAGAGAACCTAGCAATCTCAACACAAAACGTGGCGTGATATTATTAATTCTAATAAAAACAATTTAAAAGCTTATGACATTATAACAGTAGAGGGCTATCAGTTTTTCTAAAGACAAATACGGTATTCGAAACAGCGATCATCGTTTATTAAAAACTATTTTGTTATTTGACGACATAAGCGCTTTTTGTCTCAAGAGTCAACAATACACTAGCGCTTGTTCTAGCGGATTACATCACGGTGTAGGTACCATTACTGTATTTCACGCAGTACCTTCTAAATCGAGTCAAGCTTGGAATAATTTAGTATCTCATTACAAATTTATCGTTTCTTTTGACAACAACAGCGAAATTGAAAAATATTTAAAAACGATTTTCCTTCAGCTGGCACAATGCATCACGTCATTAGCGATTTGCTCAACAAAGAAACTTCTAGTCAACACGGGCATTTAGCATTGAGAAATTGTTCTGTTGCCAGATTAAGAACTCAAATTACCAATCCACCGTTTGAAAATTTTGACATTTTTGGTTACGAAACATCCCGAAAAAATCCTCTTAGGGTATAAAACTACACATGTCAAGAATACTATATCAACTTACTTTGAAATCCAAAATTAAAATCCGAGAGAGATATTTTGATTTAAATTTTTGAAATAATATAAAAACATTAGCAGTTTTTGTTTTTGAAAATAGCGGTAATGGGGTGGGTCAAAAAAATAAATTTTTTTGAGAAATGAGCTATAAGGGGAGATATTTCCATTTCAAGTTTTAAATCGATTAATTTTTGAATCGCGAATTACGATGAAAAATTTGATACGTGAATTGCCGTAAATTTGTACTTTCCTAAAATTTGTACTCTTCGGACATTTCCAATTTTACGGACTTTTTGTACTTTTAGTACATTTTCATACGTTTTATGACCTCTTTGTACTTTATGAATTAGTTTAAATGATATCTTCAAACAGATCACAAGTTCATCTCAGATTTTGAAATGCCTACTTTTTCAAAGGATCATAATCAATGTCGGCAGGTCGTTTGCACACTTTGTATGAATAAAAGTGACAGAGAAATTTCAGAATATTTCATCAGTGAAATCAAAAGATTGATTTCTGGCAACATCAACTTTGATGATGAGAGGGTTCCACGAGGGATCTGTGTCACCTGTAGGTTCCTGCTTAGAAAGTTAGCTTCTGGAGATGAAGAAGTGAGTATACCTCAACTTTATGACTTCGAATCCATATTGATCAAACCATCAACTCGCCAGACAACTAAATGTGATTGCGTCATTTGTCAAATTTCAAAAACCAAAGGGAAAGGAAAGCACCCCTTTGAAAAACCATCTCAGCAAGAAGTGCAAAAAGAAGAAAAATCTTTTGAAAAACGATGCACAAAATGCCTATCTGTCATTGCTCGAGGACTGCCTCATAACTGCAAAGAAGCAACACGTCGTGAAAACTTGAAAGCTCTGGCATTGGCAGATCCGTTAGGGGCAGAGCAAATTGCATCATTCATCGTTTCTTCCAAAGAGGTATCTTCCGATGGAACTATTCTGATTTGCCGGTTTCATGGAAAGCCTCTTGAAATCAGACCAGGTATGTTAAAGTATTGTTGCTGGGTTTGCTTTTTAATATTGGTTTTTTTCTTATTTGTTTCTTTATTCACAGGATCAAATGCAACTCAGGGTCTCTCCTCAGAGCCATTGACAACACAAGATATGATTAATATTCAGCAAAACATTGGACTTTCTAACAATGGAATGAGAAAGCTTGGGTCAGCTTTAAATCAACTAAGTCCTGTTCGCATAGTTGAGGCCAATTTTCAACAAAAATTTGCTGCAGCTGGAACTACCCTCAAAAGTTTCTTTACAGTAACCACTTCACAGTTACCAGAATCAAATGAAACACGCCATATTGTTCACTGCACAAATTTGGAAACCCTCAAAGAAAATATTGTTTCATCCAGAGGCTTGCAAAACTCAAACTTCTTAAAGCTTGGCATTGATGGTGGAGGATTATTCTTTAAGGCAAGTTTGAGTCTTATCAGTGAGCATGAAGGAGAACCTCACAGTCCTGTTCAGAAGAAATCAAAATTGATCACCAAAGATAACTTCAAAAACACAAGTGTTCAAAAACAACTGATTGATACCATTTCAGAGAACACACCAGAGACTTACCCAAATGTTAAGCACATTCTGGATCTTCTCCAAATCAATGAAATCTCCATTTCAGAAAAACTTGTTATTTCTTGTGACATGAAGCTTGCAAACATAGTTTGTGGAATCCAGTCACACAGCAGTAAGCATCCTTGCTGTTGGTGCAACATAGACTCAGCACATTTGGAAAACTGTGGTCAGCTTAGAACATTCGGGGGCATCAGAGACTTGTACAAAAAATTTGTGAAGTCTGGTTGTGATGCCAAAAGATCAAAAGAGTTTGAAAATGTGGTTCATTTGCCAATGTTTGCCTTTCCAGACAGGGAATTGATCCTTGAGACAATCCCACCCATGGAACTGCATTTGCTCCTGGGAGTTGTCAACCACCTCATCAAGTACTTGGTTCAAGTTTTTCCAAAGACCAAACAATGGTTGGATTCAATCCACATTCAGATGCAACCATTTCATGGTGGCCACTTCAATGGAAAAGATTGCATGAAAGTGCTGAGGAAAATTGAAGAGCTTATGCAATTGACAATTGCTGAAAAAGCACCAGATGCAACAAAGGCATGTCAAGCATTGAGCTCATTTCACCAGGTTGTGGTTTCATGCTTTGGATACACTCTGTTGCCAGATTATGAGGCAAAAATTTGTGATTTCAAAGATAACTACTTGAAATTACCAGTCTCAGTCACACCAAAGGCACATGCTGTTTTTCATCACGTTCAACAATTCATTCATCAGCACAAGGTTGGTCTAGGTGTATTTAGTGAGCAAGCAACAGAAGCTCTTCATTCAAATTTCAAGACCCACTGGCAAAGATTCAAGCGAAACTCTACTCATCCGGAATATTCCAGTCAACTCCTCAGTTGTGTAGTTGATTACAACAGCAAAAAAGTTTAGTTGGAAAGAAAGAAAATAAAAGACTCCTCATTTTCAATTTGGAGAAATTCAGTTTGTGTGTGTGTAAAGAATGTATTTATTTGTCAAATGAAAAATTTTTGAAGTGAGAAATTTTGATTATATCAAAAAATCGAAAGATGGTTTTCTAAATATTTTCAAATAAAATTTTAAAATTGTGAATATGAATTATTGTCAAAAATGGCATATTTTCTATCTTAATTTTACTTTTTAAATTAGTTAGGCTGTATTAGGACTGATATGACCCCTTTTGTTAAGGGCAGGTTGTAACCAACTTCTATCCATTTGGTGAAAATATTGAATATTTTCAAATCAAAATATCTCTCTCGGATTTTAATGTTGGATTTCAAAGTAAGTTGATATAGTATTCTTGACATGTGTAGTTTCATACCCTAAGAGGATTTTTTCGGGATGTTTCGTAACCAAAAAAGTCAAAATTTTCAAACGGTGAATCCCAAAGAATAATAAGTATTTATACCTGTTGATGCTCAAGGAAAATTAGATTTTGATTACAACGAAATGAGCGTAAACAAAAAAATTGTTACTTTTCAATCGTTTCATTACGTTAAAGCACAAAATTATTTTTATCTCAAATCTCATCACAATCCATTTTGTCAAGAAAAAGAGAAGGAGAATCAACAAATTAACAACGAAGAAGATAAAAATGATATAAATAGTGAAAAAGAAAATCATACAAAAAAAAGAAAATGGAGCGAGAGCGAAAGAGCTGCTTTATTGCTTGAAGAAATTAAAAGAAGAAAGCGATATGGATTGTGCGAATCATCAGACGAATATTCAGATTCTGGAAACGAATCAAACGAATCAGAATGATTGGCACAGCGAAGAGCTCTTGCAACTTTTACAAAGCGATTACGAAGCTTGCAATCTCAAAACATCAAAACGAAAAGACATGAGACAAAAATTAGCTATTTGCAGTCACATTTCTATACCTAAAATGAACAAACGTATAGATATAGACGAAAACGAAATCAAAATATGGATCAAAGAAATTTCTACTCGACTTAACGCTGTCAAAATGTGAACTTTTGTCCGATCACGAAAGATAACAAATCAAAAACGCTTTTCAAGATTACGTGTGTTTAGAAATTAAACTGTTTGTTAAGGAAATTTTATATCCTTACCCCAAATTTAACGAAAACGGAAAAATCATTTTAAAAAAAGAAAAAATGAAAGAGAAAAACAAAGCCATCTCAGATTTTGTTTACAATAATTACGACGTTTTAAAAGAATATTTTAACTCTACTCGTTTTAAACTTTATTGCGAAATTATAAATAATTACTCTAATAAATTAATTTTATTTGACACGTTACAACCTACAAAAACTGTTATCGACTTATTAAGACGACAATTTGATATTGATTATTGTCAAAAAGAATTGTATTCTCAAAAAGATTTGTATTATTTTGAAATATAAATAAATATAATCCGTACGATTTTTCATATTCTCCTTTGCTCGCTTTGCGAAAAGTTTTGTCACAAAATGCCTACAATACCGACGTTTACAAAAAATCTAGAACGGAAATGGAAAAAGAAACTGAAGAAACAGAATCAACTCCACAAAACTCTGGCATTCCAGAAACAACAATGAAATCTGATATTTCTCATTTGATCGAAAGATACGATTTACCCTCTTCTCTTATCTATGCTGATCCGATAAATGTAGAAGCGCAAATCGAAGGCGAATTGCGCTTTCAACAAGAATTAAATAACTTATTACCTATCGAAACACAGTTGAACGGTGATTTGACAACTTCGTTGATTAATGATCAAGAAAAATGGAAAACTTATCTCAACGTAGGAGGTGACGCTTTTGCTTTTAGCAAATTAATCGGACAAAACAAATACAACGAATTTAATGCTCAAGTTGATCAAAGAACCATTAGCGAAACTTTAAGAACCATGAGAAATATAAAAAAATATGTTCCTCAAGAAGAAAACAATTCTCTTAATACCATGCCTCCTAATTCTGTACAATCGGGTTTGAATAACTTGTCACAAAAAACTACTTTAAATACCGTTCAACCGACTAACAAAAAAGAATACCTTTTAACTCCTCTCAATCGATTTTTAACTTTTTACGAAAAACCTAGCGAAGCAGAAGTAAACAAACTTATCGCAAATTTAGCTAGAACAAATATGGCCAAATTAGCTCGTAATTTATTAGACATGTGTAACAGTCAAGTCAATCACACGTTTGGATCAAATCGCATTTCTTTACGCGTTTATAAACCTAGAGGCGAAGAAGCGACATTAAACAATTTAAAAAATATATATTTATTTTTTAAACAACGTAGTCGACGTTGAAGAATCTTTAGCTAGCGTTATTAACAACGTTAACGCATCTTCTTACGAAATCATAAAAGATCCTAAACAATATTCTTATTACGAATTTTTAACTTTACTTGCCTCGCCTTAAAGCGTAGGCAATTTAAGAATGGTTGCAGATTATTATCAAATTAAACATCTTACTTTTGCCAAACTGTGGAATTATTTAAAAAAGTATAACATACCTTTTAGAAACGAAAACAAATTGACAGCAGAAAGCGCATATCAAGAAACCTTTTCAAGTCGTCCTTACACTGTAATGACTTCAGCCTTTTTTGAAAGCGATTCTTTAGTAGACAAAAGTTTTTCAGGCAATATCGCTTTTGATTTTTTATCAGAAACAAAAAACGTTGTAAACTCGTGGTTAATACAATACACAGAACAATTTAAAGGCTACAACTATGACATTTTAACCGATTACATCAAATCTAACAGCGTTTACATGCTGACAAAAATATTTATAATTTGACGATTAACAATTACAACGAAAACGCAATGCAAAGCACATCAATCGGTGAACTCATGTTATATCTTACCTTTAAAACGTTTTTTTCGAATCCACCTTCTTTACCATATAGAGATGTAGACGATGTCGTACAATTACAAGACAACATAGTAACCGCTTGCATACAAGCGAACATGCAAGATTTCTTAGATCAAATTAAAATCAACTCGAATTAATTTTATAATACAGAAATCAATATTAAACAAAAAACAATCATTGAAATGATGATAATAATGGGTTCTTTATACAGTTCTCAACTCTTTCGATTGGGAACTCTTTTATCGTCATATAAAAAATGTTTTGAAATTCAGTCTTTTAATTCTAATGAAATTAAAAACTTTGCATTAACTTTAAAATCTGTCACTTCATTAAAGGCAAACAATTTGTTTTTGCATCCAAAAATTGATATCAACTTTTCTCCTGTGAAATCATTTTTTTCAAAAAAGTCTGTGTTACTTACCCCCGAATCTTTAGACGATACACCGTTGTCTCAATCTACTCGTAAAGAAAAACCTTGGTTAGATTCCACTCCGAAAGAAGATTCTTGGTTATATAAAGAAGAAGAAAAACCTGTCGGTGCTACCGCTTTACCTACTGAAGCTACACCAATTACCGATATAAAACCTAAACGTTTGTTAGGAAAAAAATATCCGACAAGAAAAAGGGGTAAAGAAATTTAAAAAAAAATGGAAGACGCATTAAGAGATAAAATCGATCGTCTTATCGAAATTCAACTTGACGATTTATCTAGTCGTTTATTTGGTTTGACCAACTTGTCAAAAATTAAAAAAATAATGTCACAATTTAACACTTTGAAAAAAAATGTCAGCGATTTAAAATTTTAAGAAAAACTTAAAACAATTTTAGAAAATTTAATTTTTTGCTAAATGGGACGGTATGATTACTGCTTGGTCACATCAAACTCTTCTTTTAAAAAAAACCGCTAACGCAAACGTTAAAAATCAAGCGCCGAGAAAACCATACGTTTACGAAACGCATCGGTTTTCTTACGAAAAACCTCATCAGTATTTTCAAGCCGATTTGGCAGACATGAAGAGTTTTAATTTTAATCCTGGTTATTGTCCCGATTATTGTTTAGTCATAGTTGACGGTGTTTCGGGCAAAGTGTATTCAAGAGTAATGAAAAAAAAGACTGCAGAAAAAACGGTCAGCAGTTTTAGACACATTTTTAAAGACATTAAACGAGACGACAAAAGTTTTATATATTTGCAAACAGAAGAAGGTACAGAATTTTTTAATTCAAAAATGAAAGAATGGTGCGAAGCCGAAAACGTGCAACACTTTCATTCTAAAAATTACGGAAAGGCCTATTTAGCTGAATCGGTCATTGGACGTTTAAAACTGTTATATCAAAAATTAAGAGATAAAGGTTAATTAAAAAAATATAATTGGAGTTATTACATTGAAGAAATTGAACAAAAACTAAACGAGAAAGAAAAAACATCGAGCGGTATATGTCCCGAAGAATTGGATGCCGATGACAATAAAGGTAAAGCACTGTTTATGATTGATCAATACGTAAGCAACAAAAAACGCAAACATGACTTTACATCTAACATGTTGCATCGCGTAAAAAAAAAACACAAATATCAAAAATTAAAAATATTAAAAACCTTATCTGTTGGAACAGAATGTTATTTGAGAAAATACAAAAAAGATGCTAAAGACACTTTTAGCAAATCGAGTACACGAAACCGTCCGTATTGGGACACGACAATACGCGTCATCATCATGAAAGGCAGCAAACGCACAAACCCTTCAGTGCAAGGTTATTTACCGGTTCATATTTTCAAAGTAGGACAAGTAGACGATTTAAATACAACGTATAAAGTTAAGAGAGAAGATTTGTTACCTATTAACGAAGAAGATAAAAACATTTATTTTAAAGACTTTAACGAATACGTAGACACTTTTTATAAACCTTTAAAGAAATCTTTGCAAAAACCTTTTTTAAAAAAAACTGTTTAAAAAAATTAACAATTTAGTATTTGATGATGTTTTAGACGTAAATAAATATGATTGTAGTGCGTATTTTTTTAGCGAAATTAAAAGTAAAGAGCAAGAAAATGTTCATTATAACGTTTTGAACGATTTTAGTTTACCCTTATCTACTAACGATCTTGATAAACCTTTTTTTAAATACAATACTATTAT